TCATACAAATTTTGAGAAAAATCTACAAGCCACATTAATGTCTTTGCAAGTGCCATAAATTTATAATTGGTTCATATAAAAGGGTTGCTGTATACACCACCTGTTAAACCAGAGGAGGGCTGAGACTGCTACACAATTTTCATTTGCACAAGAAAGTAACAAATTATTTTGAAAGGCTGGATGTTTTCTATCACAAAATTCTATGAGGAATATTATTTTTCAGACATCTAAAACCTTGGACCTCAGGTATGGCAAACCTCATCTTAGAGACAAACTGTGACTGACTTTATGCTAACGCATAGTAGGGAAGTGTGCAAGCCTCCTTCTTCCCTTCCAAGTAAGAGAAATGTCACACTGCAAACCTTGCATACATAGTGCAAAAGAACGTACCACCACCACGCAACTGTCATTTAAGATTTGGTCCTCAAACGTTCTGAAATAGGCTCCCTTTTTCTGTAATAGTTTGGACCTTCCTTGTCCACATTCCTACCCTTCATGTACACGTGGATTTCCTGCACCCTGGTTTGCCCCAAGTCCCTAAATTCCAGCCTCCAGATGTTTCCCTGTCTTTTCCTGGGGAATAAAACTATCCCATACTGTTTATCAACAGTATCTACAGGAACATCTCACACCAGATGCTGCATCTTAGCTCCTGGCAGAGCCTCCCTGCATCATTTCACTTTGATTTTCTGCATTTCTAACCCGTACCTTTCTTCCCCAAGAATGCTAAGTGCTCTCCATGTACAAAGAGCTCAGCTGGGGATCCACTATTCCTTCCTGCAAGCCAATACACAGTTGCATTACCCTAACTGATAAATTTGAGCTTCCTGAGAAGAGTTTATTTAACTCTGCCTGTGGTGCAGCAGCCACACTACACCCTCCTGCCTCAGCTCTGCTCACACGGCAAAGGGGAAGCAGAAGTGATGAACTGTAAGCCCAGCCAATACTCACTGAAACACATGCACTGTAAGAACTAGACCCATAGCTTTGACCTCTTAAGACTTTTTTTACCTTGACCCAATTGCCTAGATATAAGTGAGGACTTAGAGGGAGTTGGAGAGAAAGAAAAGGGAAGAGGCAAAGACCAGAAGGAATATTCCTGTACATTCCTGCCTCCCTGGTCTGTTTGCTGTCTTTATGTAATGTAAGCCAAATACAGAGGGGCCTCCTGCCAGCTACAGAAATGTTGCCTGAACACAGCAGCCTTCCAAAGGTTCTGTAAAATGCGGCTGTGGAGCAGACCTGAATACATCCAGTGTATCTCACACTTCTTTCAACCTTCTCCTTGCCCAGTGAATGAGATTTCATTGAGTCATTGACAGATGTCATCCCTTCCCAGCCATCCACTGTTACGCAGCAGTAGGGCACACAGGCAGCTGGGAGCTAGTGTTCAAGGCCATACTCGGGGCACATCCTCCGTAGGTCCTGTGCAGTGTATAGCCTTTCTGCAGCTCCTGGAACTGGCACTGGCACAAGATGCAAGCAGCTAGGGAAAGATTGTCCACCTATGATTCCAAATTAGAAAAGAAACACAATGCTGTTCTGGCAATGAGGTTATTCTAACTGGAGTAACACAAAACAGATATGAAATTACTGGACATTTTACAGAAGTGCGAGATTTGACTAGTTTCGCTAGAGTACCCCTGAAATACAGCCAAAAGTAGAATGACTTTCCAGGTAAGACACTGAAGGAAGAATTCTGTAACTGACATGGTCCTGCAGAACTCTATCCAGAGCTCACCCTGGCATAGGTGTACATATAAATCACATCCTTACAGGGAACCAAAACCAAGCAGAACAAGGGCTTAAGGGATTAAAGACTTATTCTGGAGACTGGAGTTATTCCTGGCAGTGTCACCAGCCCCAATTCACCTCTCAACATCTCAGTTTTATCTTACAACATAATAATCAGTGCTCAGCAGCAGGCAGCACAAAGCACTGTGCCCAACTCTCACCTTTTTTTTTTTCTCCTCTTTTTTTTTTTTTTTTAGTGAACAGCCCCAGCTTTGGTGCAGATTCTGCATTTCTAGTAAAAAGATCATTGTAAAATGTCACCCCTTAACCCTACTCCTAAAGTTTTTCACATGTAAAATGTAGTCCTTCCTCTAGAAATCTAATACTTCAGAAGAACTACTTCATTGAATAATGTGAAATCTGAAGTAGGCTCTCCTGAGTGAATCTTGCTGTTACAACAGAGCACTTCATTCTAATTTTTTCTACCCTAGCCCCAAAAGATGCCTAATACAACACCATTACCAAGCTCACTGATCTATCTTCACTGCCCGTTCTTAAGTCAATGGGGAGACATGGCAAGAGCACACAAGCTCTCTCTTCTGTTTCACAGCCCTGCAAAGCTTGAGGGAAGGACAAGGAGCCAGACCACAGAAGCAGCTGCTTCCCAGTGGAGCAATTCCAACATGGCTGCTCTTTCCCAGAAAGGAGGGGGAATGGAGAAGGGCAAAAAGTCAGAAGGGAATTTCCTCTGCACTGGAATTTTCTCTCCATGAAGAGGCATACGAATACATAGCTTACAGGCACAATTCACAGGATCTAGTAAGTTTGCTTTACACACGAAGCAACCGTCTTTTAAGTGTTAATGACAATCTAACTTTGCTACAAAAACTAGGTATCTTTCAGGTTTTATGGAAGTTCTGTGTTTGCAAATTGATCTTTTATAGAGTCTTGCTGAATTGTGATTCACATTTACTTTAGCAGACATTCAAAAAATGGTTGCACCTACAAATTACTTTATTTCCTAACTTGTATCTCAAACATCTATTATTTAAGGCATTTTTGTTAATTTTTAAGATGTGCAAACAACGTATACAACCTTTGAAGACACACAAGCCCTCTGAAATTTGTGCTTCTATACAAATACGCTTGTAGATACTTAAATACCGCAGTCACAAGTTTATTTTCTCTTATGTTGCATGTGTCATGAACACTTGCCTACATGAACAACAAGAATGCCAAAAAATCTCCTAAGTCGGGCCAGAGGTGCAGTATTTATACTTGAATTAAAATGAATTCCATGTGCAAGCTAAAGTAGCACTCCATCAATAAAACATTTCAACCACTGTCTGTGGTATGGCACTGAGGCATCTCTTTTCAGCTTTATCTGACACTAGGGATTTCTTGCTTTACGTAGCTAAGAATCAACTGAGAACTATTTTAAGTATATCTTCAAGTACTTCATATAATTTATATCTAATTCGAAGAACTATTGGAAGACTCTGGTATGCATGAATACATAAACAAGCATATATTTGAATTTTCATAACAAAACGTTTTCATATTATGGGATTCTGTATTACAAACACTTCTTAACAGGTAGTCACAATTTGATCAAAAATGCTCCCCTTTCTTCTTCTACTTTTAAGCCATTAAGTAATTTTGCTTGTTGACAGCTGGAACAAAAAATACTAATTTCTAAAACAGAGGAGCATGAAAAATATATTTTCCTATTTGCCATTCTGACTCTTCATTCAGAATGGTTTCATGCAATTGTAGATATGTTTCAGTATTGAATCAGGTCCAATAGTAAAATCTAAACATGACTGTATGAAGGATCTAGAGAAGAAAGGGAGTTTGAGAATTATGTAACCAGGAGAGAAGAGCCTTGTCAGTAAAGAGGGAGGCCCATAAAAGGGCCATTGAAAAAATTTCTGGGAGTTCGTCAATAGTAATGAATTTCAAATATCCTCTCCAGGGTCCTTACTAAAAAGTAGCATGTTATTTCTCTGAGCTCTGAGAAAAGTACAAAGAGATGGTCCATAAGACAGACAGAAGAAAGCTATTAGTAGACTGAAAGATTTGAAAACAACACCTTGAAGTGTAATTACATGCAAATCGAAACAACTGGGTCATGTAAAATGTATAGATTGTGTGCTCAGCATTAGCGGACAGCTGAGTAAGTGACATGCTGAACGTTACACCAGATACTCTTGCCAAGGCTTATTTTAGCATAGCCAAAATGACAAAGAATATAGAGGTTCAACCTACAACAGAGTGTAGAGAGACTTGTATTATCCATGCTTTTCTGTCTCTTTTTTGGCTCCAACAACTATCACAGGTCCCACATACACGAACTGAGAACAGTCAGTGCACTGAAAACTGTTTAAAAGACCGAGTTACTCTTCTACAATGGTTAAAGGACTGGAAGGAGCCAAAGCTTTGCTTATTCCTCACAAGTATTTCTGCCATACCAAATGCCAGCATCATTATTTTATCAGTCGGATGTGTATACTCTGTAGCTGTACTCAAAAAAACAAATAAACCAGTGCTTTTATTAGTAACTTACAGTACATAAATTCCAGTACAAACTTGTAAAGGAATTTCTCCTGAGGGAAAAACATAATTAGTTTTAGAGTTTTCCAGAATAGTAGAGGGTTGTTGGGATTTTTATGTGTTTCAGACATACATAGAATTACAAACATCTATATTTATAGGTTCCAAAAGATTTTCAACAAGTCTGTGTAAAAAAAATCTTTTTTTTTTAGAGGATGCCTGTTTATCATACATTTTCTTGTCCACTAACAGCATCCATCCAGACATAAGACCATGTTAGAATTACTTCAGTCATGTATTAATCATAGTTGATGAAAGACTTTAGGCAAGTATTCAGTCTTAATAAAAACTCTTGAAAGTTATTATCCACATAAAGAAATATCTTGGAAAGTTTCACCCAAAAAGCAAACCAGAAACCTAATAATTAATAAAAAAATTATACCATCTTAAGTTTTAAATAACACTGAACAGATGTTTTAATCTAAGGGTCTATAGAAGCCAAAAATAGCAGATTAAAAAAATGCAGGAGAAATGGGTGTGTGAGAGGAAAGCCCACTGTTCCAGGATTGGAATATACTACATAGCAGGGCTACTCTAAAGTACATGGAAGGTGGAAAGGATGAGAAGCTGGTCTGGTGCCCTCAGATGCAGAAGGTAAAGAGTAGCTTTTTTTTTTTTTTTTAAAAGAAAATGTATCTACGCTTCTTGCTTACCTTTAAATATTTTGCAAGTTTCTGTATTCCCCAGTATTCTGATGGCAAATCATCGGTATTTCCTTCCTGATGACGGACAGGCTGTTCTTCGTCTGTCTCAGTCTCTGAGGAACTTTCACCAACGTCTTCAGACCTGCCTGATGTTTTACTAAAAATAAACAAACAGCATCATCCATTTTAAACAGCTACAAACTAATACAAACAAGCACATTTTAAACAGGTATGACAACACTGCCTAATAACAGAATCAGAAAAAATTAATTGACATTGCCAAATACTAAGTATAGTGATAATTACTGTAGATACACAAAATAATACTAAACAAGTTGAAGGAAGAAAAATAAGTAACCCATACCATTTTGAAGATGGTTGTATTTTAACAGATCCAGAAGAAATGCCACTGGCTTTCTTTTTTATTTTCAGAGACACAGTACTACTTCTCCCTTCTTCAGTATCTCTTTTTGTGGCCTTGTCACTAAAATATTTGGGTTTATTTAAAAAGAAAATATTATATATATATATATATATACATAGAACCAATAGAACCAAAAAGCTATGGTTGCACACATCTTTTGTCAGTACGTATGAGCTTATGAACCTACACAATAAACTTCATTAAACATAAAGTATGCTGTGTCTTAAGTGACTAATTTTGCTTTAATAAAATAGTGGAATATTAGGAAAATTATATTATGTCGACCTGTATGTGATACAAGAACAAATAATGAGTATATGCAGACAGACCACAGGTCCATTTATCCTAGGATACCACCTCCAACTATGACCAACAGCAGTTATCTAGGTAACAGTAGAACAATGAAAGAACATGGAAATTATTTTTTCCAGGATATTCTTCAGCAAATTGTGATTCAGGGAACTCTCGATCATCCTTGCATTCACAGTTTTAGATGGATTTTTCTCCCATGAATGTGTCTGATTGCTTTTTGAACTCACATAAACAAATGGCCTCTCTCTATCATCCTTTGGCACAGAATTTGAGAGCTTAGCCATGTGTGGTATGAAGAAGTCTCTCCCTTTGTTCTGAACTGGTGTCACTGGCTCATTTTCATATGATGCCCTTTATTCTCGTATTAAAATGGACAGTGACTACCTGTTCCCTATTTACCATCTCCAGTCACGATTTTTTGTATCTGTCTTATCATCCCCAGTCATCTTTTTTCCAGGTAGAAGTGTTCTCGTCTGCCTAGTTCTTCCACACACTGAGCTGTTCCATAGCTTTGATCATGCTGAATACAATATATCTTGCTTAACTCATATGCCAGGAAGACTCCTAGGCCTACCTGGGTACAATCTCTGGTGCTTTTTTGTCCCTAATTTACAATGCTGTGAACACAAAACGTTGTTTTGAGCTTGGGCTAGTCATCAATATCAGTCACATCAATAAAATAGAACACTACTCATGATACTAGCCCATTTCACTACATTTAGACTCTAACAATGACTGTAGACAAAGATAAGCTCTCGTCTCTGGAAAACAACATTTTTTTTAACATGTAACTGTAGGTGACATCCAAAAATCTCTTGTTTCTTGCAATACGTCATATTGACAGACTTGAGAAGATACTTTCTTTTTGTAGGATGGCAATCAAAGCCTTTCCTTCAGATAGTCTTCTTCCTCCATACACCAGCACAGTTTAGAGAGATCTATGGGAAAATTCAATTATAAAGATAACTACTTATCTGTGGGAAGCAGAAAGCACAGTATTCTTCCACTTCATAGAGGGTTCCGATTTCTTCTTGTCAATGGATCTCCTTCTTGCTCCAGAACCTTTCACTTTTTCACACACATTCTTTTCTGAAAAATCATAAAGGTTCTGGGATTCGCCAGAGACCTTAGCATCAATTACTTCCATACACTGATAATTCTTCTCATATGTTGGTTCTTTTAAAAAATTATATTCCTAATAAAAGGAAACATTGTTTGTCAGTCATATTGCTATTTGAATAATGTATATTAAACCAGTAAGTTACGAGCACAATTCCAGGATGCTGTGCTTAAAAATCGCATGCATTAAATGTAGAATTAGATTATACGGATAAAATCAGACTGCCTTTAAAAGAATGAAACACTAATCTGGAACATAACTGTTACCGTGTGCAAATTAAAGTGTTTGAAAGAAATGAACTAGCTAAATTTGGAACTTCCTGAACATACTTGAATGTTGGGTGTTGCTCGATTTCTCATACGTTAAATAATTTGTGATACAAGCACTTTTATAGAACATAATTCCAAACAAGTTTTAAGATCTAGAATTGCAATGTCAGTCATTCTGCTTTCAATGGATCATTTATATAAGAACTATTTCCCTGCATAAAGGATTTACAAAAAAAAACCCACAAAAAAAAAAAATGAACATAAAACTGAAAATAGGCTATGATAAACTGCTAGACTTCAGTTCCAAGTAATTTAATTTGATATAGTTTAGAATTAATATAAACACATTCCATTTCAATTTTTTCATCTTCCGTCTCTCAGGACAAAACGTTGTTGAACAAGTCACACACAGGAATGGAGATGAGTGACACCTACCAATCCTTCAGCTGTTTGTGTCTTGTACCATGGCTGATCAAAAATATCCAGAACAGAAAGGACTCTTGTCGACTCTTATTCTCTACTGGAACATATTCAATTTTCACAGGAAAGACAGCATACTATCACTACATACTATTATTATTGCAGCTGTCGCTACCAGATAGGTGAAGACATGCCTTTATGTGTCTGATTCGAGGCAGTTTTAAGGAGACTGTCATAGTATCGTCTGTTTTCGACTAGTCCCTGATGTGAATCTGCTGTTCCAGGCTTGCTGACCGAACTGCCTAATCATAAACTAGTTCATGCTAATTCTCTCATTCTGAAAATGCAGGCTACACTAAAGACAATTTAACACACGACAAATGAGACAAATCACAGGGGAACTGACGCTGTAGCTTGACCAGCGAAGAACATGTTAAAAAGTGTTTCCTACAGCACTATATGCCAACAACAAATCTAAATCTTAGGTTAAACAAGGACAAGAAGATACTATAAAAGTTCATTGGTTTTGCAATACATGTGTACATAATGAGCTTTTTGAAGCTCTCCTCTCCTCAGAAAATAAATCAAAACTATTTCCAGTCATAATTTATTTCATGTAGGCAACCATGGAAATACAGCTTTTCTCTGCTGTTCAGAGTTCTAGAGTAGAGGAGATTTTCCCTCAAATACAAATGTGCTGCAGCTTTACAACATTAACTTGTTTAAATTCTAGTTTTAGGATGCAGAATGTACTAAATCAGCTCTTAAGCAAAGCAATACGACATGATACTCCTAAACCATTAAAATGGTACAATTTATACTCTTCAGCATAAACTTATTTATACAATCAGGGAATACTGAATGATTTACATGACAATTGAAGGAAAATAGGATAAAATCTATTTATTTACTCTTATTTAAGAAGCATACACACTTCTTGCATAGTTACAGTATCTTTATAAGAGCAGAAAACCAGTAAAGAAAGGTATATTATCTCTATTTAGATATTAACATTAAACTATATTCACATTTATGATTATTAAAATATTACCATATTTTACCTTTCATGACCATTAAATGAAGCCAAATCACTTTGAAAATACGTTAAACCAGTAACTATGTCTAAAAACATTCATATATCATCACATTTATGAAATGTAAAACAGTATGTAGATATAACATTAAAAAATACTTGCCTATGGGATAAATAAAGAGCATTCTGGAACTTATTATACTTTCAAACAGAACAACTTGCAAATTTAATTCCATTACTGTTAATATAAGCGACGGTACTTATGTGTACAACTTGAAATGCTCTCTTCTTTCGGAACTGGCAAATATCTGTATCTCAAAAAAATTAAACATCAGCCCTACATGCCAGAGAATCAGAACTAAAGGATAAGAAAATTTCCCTGTTAACGACTTCCTTCTTGCAATAATTAAAATTGCATAAAAATAACCACAATAATTTTTGACATGTTTTAGCCCATAATGAATTTTATCACTAAGTTATTAATCCTTTATAACCATAATAGAAATACAAAGAAAGAGTTTTTATCAGGAATGATGAAACTGCTAAAATTGTGGTGGCACTCTGTGATTCTAGCTAACATAGAGCTCTAAATAAAAGCCAAAACACTTGCATTTTGCAGTGGCTGAAGTAACACTGTGTGTAAGCTGGATGCTTAACTCTCAGCTCTGATCTTTAAATCAGGCAGTTCTCATTAAAAAGTTGGGCTATTACTTACATTTGGGTTACAAAGAACGAAGATAAAAATTTAAGTGGTTTTGATCACAGAAAAATGTTGTCATAAAAAGCTGACCTTTTCCATAAGGATATCATATTTTCCTGCTTTAATATTTCCAGTGCTCCATAAAGAATAACACCAGAAGATCAGCAAAACTTTTTATGCAAAATTAGAAGCTGACCTCACATGTTAGATCAAACCTCATAATAAGGTAGAGACCAATACATGAAACACTGTATTATTTGCTATTTACAAAAGGAACATACTTAGTAGAAACCGAAACAAATCCGAAGAAAAATAGTAAATGCATTTCAGAGTCTTTAAAATTCTTCATTTAATTATCAAAGATTTATCTTTGATAACGAACATAAACATTCAGCCAGGTTTATAACGTAATTCTTAACCAATGTACGTTTGTACAAAGGAGAATGTACACCCAGTATCAGTAAATACATACCTGTTTAGCCATATTTTCTACAAATCTAGGTGATCTCTCCCTTAAAAATGTGACAATATCTTTATATATATCACTTTTTCTTTCATAGTCAATGTCATCTTTACCCTTTTGCTGACCCTTAAAAAGAAAATAAATTCAAATTATTAATAGTATTGCCTTACGCAGGTAATTTAATCTGCATCATTCAATAGTCCTAAAGAGCACAGAGATCCCACTGTAATGAATTAGGTACAGAAGTCTCATGCTCAGCAGAGTCCATCAAACTTCAATAATGCTTTGTAAAGATGCCTGGATCATCTCCATGGATACCAACAGATAATAAGTTCTTACATAGAATTCTGCAAGTCATTACTATCAGTCAATTGTATTGCATGTAGTTCCACTGAAAAGAATTTATGGCTTATGGCAAACAAGCAAGTAAATATGAGCTTCCAGTGCAGTATGGCAGATATCTAAAAGGATCAGAAAATAATGTGACTCGACTAGCCTAAGCTTTATGAGCTTCCCCCATTAAAAAACATGCTAAGTCAAAATTTCCCTAGATTTTTTAACTCTTAGGAATTCAATTTGTGGTGTTACGTCTGACGGACATCAGTCTCTCTTCAAAATGAATAAAAGAGCTCTGGTCACTGCTTAACACACATAAGGGACTATCATGCCTAAATAAAACCCACCTGTAAGAGCTAACTAAAATGAGAAGTAAAAAAAAAAAAAAACATAATTTCCAAAAAGCTTCTTCCACTGAAAGGAGAAAGAACTGTTTTGTCATTTATCAAAAGACAAAAGCAAGCTATATCAGCCACACATAATAATAGTACACTTCGGATGAAGAGCAATGAGGCACCAGAGAGGCACCTAGTCCCACAGTACCTTTAAACAGGAATAGTGCAAAGCACTGTTAGGGCACATTTAAAGACTATACAAACACTGCTAGCAAGAAGTGCAGAATATACTCCTAGTATAAAACTTGTAGAAAAAGCACTCAAAACATATGGGGAAAATAGTATGCATTTAATCACTCTGTCTTCTCCTTCTGTACCAATAAACTAACTCTGCAGGTCCTAGAGCCTCAACACCACTACCCTAAACCTGATGGATTTTTGATTTTAGCACATAAAAATATTCATTACTCCACAGAATCCTTTATTATTACTTACTCCATTTAAAAACACTCCCGCTGTGCTGCAAGTGATATACAAAGGATCAGTGTCATGTGGTTTGATGACTAAATAACAAATTTCTCCATGCACTTGTCTCCAGGGGGGAGCTCGGCATCCATTAGAGAATGTGTAATCTGTAACCAATTAGCATGAATGTTTTCATCCAGTTTAAAAATATTTTTAATAGTTATGCTTGATGATTAATATAACATGTATACAAATAAAATTGCCCAAACAATACCTTACTCTTAGGAATTAATCAGCAAAGCTCTGTGACCTGCGGCCCAATTCAACTAAGAACTGCAACTGTGCTCAGTACTTTTCAGGATCAGGGACTCTGTTTACTTTTCCTGCTTCCACTGGAGAAATTCATAGGATTGGAGATTATTTCTATAACTAAAGGCTGAAGAACAGCATTCCATACCTGAAAATATGTTTTATTATACTTTATAACTTTAAAGTAGAAATAAACACTTTAAATTCACTACTGAAGTTAATTTAGCAAATTTCACACAGAAGTCAAGTACTTCACTACAGGTATACATAAACATGAGATATGATCAGATCTGGACCTGATGTATATTCCAGTGATTCCAGTATTGTATCTTCTCTTTTCCCAGAGAAATTCTTGAGAAGATTCACTTCATTATTTATAGCAGCTGGATTTAGTCTTACATCTCTGCAATTAATAGAAAATGGTCTAAAATGTATTCATCAGAAGTATGTACTCAGAGAAAAGATAATATTACATGATTTTTTTTCTTTTACATTGAGTCTTAATGGTAGCAAAAATCTGGAAATGGGTCACCTTCCATTGCTTTTCTTAATTTCATCTGTTAGTTTAGTAAAATTGTACTTCCACAGCTAATATGAAGTCCCTGTAACTACAAAACAGACTTGATGTAATACTTAATATGCTTCCACGAAGAAATAAACATTTCCTTGAAAATATTTAACCACAACTTTGTTGTTTGTACAAATGACTTCAATTTGCTACCAAAATGCAAAACATATGCAATAAAAAACCCACACTCGCGGACGCACAATTGCATACCCACACCTACTGCAAAACCTTCAGGAAAAAAATGTTTTTTCAATAACTTAGTGAACAGTGAAAGTTATTTCAATAAATTTCTTTATGTCACACCAAAAGCACATGTTATGAGTTGAAGCCAATCCGATTTAACAATAAAACAAAAAAATGCACTGGCTGACATGTTCAGCTTCCATTTGAAATGCACTTACTGTGAAACGTGTTTCAAAGAACTATTAAGCAGTTGCAAATCCAGCTGATGAAGAAGACTATTGATTTTCATTTTGACTTCTGTTTCAGGGTCATCATCTTTTTTCACTTTGTCAAGTGAATGCAACATGGACCTATCTTCTCCTTCAATGGGCCCATATTCAGGGCCAAGAATTTTCACTATAGGATCTCTGTTAGCTGTAAACATGAAACAAAAACATGCAATGTGATACTATGTTAAAAATGATTAGGCAAGACAAACACTTTTCATCTCAATTGCTGAATACTTTTGATGCTATTAATTTACAATAAGAGCTTTAATAATGTGCATAGTTATTAATCAAATACTACTGGACGACATGTTCTTTCACATCCCTCTGTTGCAATCTGAAATGCACTCTTAAAAGTATGAAACCATTAAGAACAAAGTAAAATTTTTCATAACAAACAAGATTCATTCAACCAAGAGGTAAATATGAAATACTTCCCTTTATTAACAGCTCCCTTTCCAGAAAACATGCCTGGCAGATCACCAAAACAGGAAATCAACAAAAATTGATAATTTTGGAAATATGACTTTGTGTTAAAGAACATCTTTAAAGTTTTCTAGCAGCATTCCCAACAGCCCTATTACTTCCTCAGCTATGCCAGCTGTTCTCTTTGGTAAACAGTGACATAACTGCATGTCAGTGGGTTTTACGAAAACATTTTGCTCTGTTCCTGCAAACGAAGTCCCATGCATCTGTGAATGCCTCTGCATGATACCCTGTCCATATTAGTCCTCTCTCTTATTCATGGTTGATCACTGTCAATGACAGGACCCTGGATTAGGTGGATCCGAAGTTTGATGCAGTAGCATTTATATTTTAATATTGCAGATGCAATTTCTACTAATATTAACAAAGAACGTTACTGATCTCATCTACCTCCAACAAGAGGAGGATATCCCATTTAGCATGTCAGGGATCTTCTGGTCAGTTTGAAAGCCCAGGACTTGAATACGGCACAGTAGAAGTACTCGTACCTATATTTTAAAAGACGTTGTGAGAAGGACCTGGAAGTGCTCAACGTGAAACTTGTGCAGGTAAAAATGTCTTAAGGCTGTAAGTTTTTCTTTGGCTGTTTTTTAGTTATGTAACATTTCAAAAGAGAATTAAACTACAAACCCAGGAAAAACTGCTATTAACCTCCAGTAAGACATTCTTTCTCAGAAATTTAAACCTACTGTCTGTTGCAACAGATGGGGTATTACTCAGTATACATGAATTTGTATACAAGATTCAACAGTTTTATTTTAACTTTATTCCAGATCTCTCTGTTACTGATCTATGCGAAAATAAAAGAATGAACAGAAACTCCATTAAGTTCTGGATCAGCACCTTTAGCCACCTTCATGAATCAACACCTCCTCATACACTTGAAATGAAGGCATGCTTTTCTTTCTTCACATTTCACAAACATAAATTGAAGAAGACATACTTTTTGAGAGAGACGAAAGATAAAAGAAAAAAAAGGAAGAAAGGAAACCTTCAAGGCATGCCTGTGTTTCCTTTAACTTTTTTTCCACAGCAATCTGTAGCAAACGGGACAGCTGGTCAAAACTGCGAACTCTGAGAGTTGATGCCGTGAGAAGAAGCAATGGTTGGCCATCTTTACCTTTGGCTTCAGACTGAACAGTTGCTCCACTAGAAAAATTAAATTATATCTTTTAAAAATGCACATGTTAGAGAAGAATCTCGAATGTTATTCAAGCTTCACAAGATAAAGCATATACAATTTCTCTAAACTATATTTCAGAAAACTTCCGAGGTAAATTTATTCACTGCAAATCAGCAAGTGGATGCACTTAAAGGAGGCTGGGACCCCACAGAGAGCCCACGCTGGAGCAGGTTCGCTGGCAGGGCTTGTGACCCCATTGAAGGGACCCACGCCGGAGCAGTCTGTTCCTGAAGGACTGCATCTCGTGGAAGGGACCCACGCTGGAGCAGTTC